GTGGAATGGGATGGTCCGTAAGGTCCCTCCCAACCCAACCCATTCCATGAGATGATTCTATGATTTATCAGGATATTGAGCTGTTTGTCACAAGCCTTATCCCAGCTCAGTGAGGGGCAACTCTGGGCTAGCACAGGGCTGAACTTCCAAAGAGATGGATGCAGAGTTTGTTCTCGCTGTGTGTGTGAGGAATGACCTGGCTAAGGATGCCTTGTTCTTGTTGAGGTGGATGGGTATTCTCAAAAAAATAGGAAATGAGTCCTCTGTGGGATGGAAAACAAGTTGGAAATAATTACAGTGTGTTTGTGGAATCCCACACCCATGCCCAACCTTGGTTTACAACCCACTCCTGTGAGAAATGATGAGACAGAAGCTCCAGGGCCAGAAATCACACTCTGCATGACTAAGTTACTCATCATATTTAACGTTTCTTTGTGTCTCTGTATCTGCACTAAATTTTGGCCCAGGCTTTAATGCCAGCCCAAGGCAGCTCTGAGCCACTGAGTCAGCCCAGCTGAACCTGGGACAGCTGCTGCCAACCCACCAACCTCTGTGGGGCAGGGGGGACTCTGCTCCCCTGAGCTCCTTTCTGATAATATGTGAGCACCAAGTGCATCCTGACAGCTGGGAGTGACTCATGTGGCTGCAGCTGGTCAGCCTGGGAGGTTCCCTTCCCCAAACAGGCAAAATCTCTCTCTTACAAAGGCTCTCCCAGCATGGGACCAGCACAAATCACTGCTCGGGTTACCCTGGGCTCTCACTAAGGTCTAGGAAAGAGCAGGATATGAGACTCCACTGCAGGTAGTGCTTTAATCACGTGGGACTGTCCTTTGCACAACCAAGTCAGTGGTTTTGTCTGAAGTGTCCCAAAAAACGTCATCATGGGATGAAGTAGTTGAAGACAAAATTCTCAGCTGACCTCTCAGGTCTGGAATAGGGCAGAACACCAGGGAAGGTGCCTGGGAAAAGCTCTGGGGCTGCAGCAGCTGAGCTGGGCAGGCCCAAGGCTTTGTGCTCTACAAGCTGGAAAACAAGCACGAAACGTGGCCATTTCCCTCGTGAAGTTTGGGTCTCTCTGCCTGTCCGAGGGGGAGGACTGAGGAGGGTGAGGGGGGGGTCTCAGGGGGGTCCCAGCCCACTGTGGCCACACGGAATCCTCTGCTCTCTGTTGAGGGGATGGGAATGCCACGCCTCTCCTCTCGAATTCCAGCTGCCAGTACTGGGTCTGGGGGATTCTGGCCAGGACACCCAATCCTGGGGTAACAGGATCGTTTTCTGAGAGGCAGCAAATGCTGGGAGCTCTGGGCCAGGCTGGCCCCCACCTCTTGTCTAAACTGCAAAGAGATCTCCCTCCTGCTGCTGCTGAGGGCTGAAACCAGAGAACTGTCTGTCTGCAGCACAGACAAATTGTCATCATTTTCAGTTCCCAACTTCATTTTTTCTATCTCCTGAACTCCCTCTTTCTCTCTAGCAGGTGTTTACCCCTGTAAAGAGCACCTTCAGATGGAGAGAGGAGGAGGAGAGGGTTGAGGTGTGATAAGTTTTACTTGTAATGCCACAGAAGAGCTGAATTATGCTCAGCACAATTACACAGAGCACCCCATATAGAGACTTCACTACACTTTTACCCACCCTGCTACAGAAAACAGGACACTTTTAGGAGTTCTCATTCATCCCATTAGGAGTATTTCCTGTATCCTTCCACTAGGAACAGCAGAGGGCTTAGAAAGGCAGGAAGGTTTGATAAGTAAATATGAAGCAGTCATGAAATAACCTGGGTCAGCCTTTCAATGCACAAAAGGAATAGAAGAATTTATATGCTGATATCTTGGCCCTCACATGATTAAAAGCATTAGGAAAATGGGAATCTCTCCTTCTTGGGGGTGCAAAGCCCTCTTTTCTTCAGGACTGCCAGATAATGGATCCTCTCTTTCCCATACAAAGGGCTTATTGGCTCAGGACTCTATCTTTCCCCAGCCTGAGCCTGGGGGCAGGGTAATTTGGGATAGGGATAAGCAGAGAAAAAGCCTTGGTTTGGTCATTTCAATGAGCCTCTGATTTCTGAGCAGGACTGGGAAGGAGATGATGAAGCTACAGAAATGGAAATTGCAGGCTGGACTTGTGTCTGGTGCTATCACGTGGATCTCATCCCTAACTTATTCTGAGGTGCTAAATTGCACTTGTGATCATCTGAATTAATCACGTGCCCTGGACTGTCTAACCTGGAGCCTGCCTTTGAATTCCAGGCTCTATCCTCATCTCCCAGGCCTGGTGCTGTTAGAAACCCCTTGTCAGAAAGATGCCTGCTTATTCCCCCCCAAATTACACTGTTTGAGGCAATATTCTGCCTCATGCCAGTCACACCTTTACATTTTCCCACTCAAAGCTAGAAGGAGGGGGGGTAGTTTATACCATTTCTGAGAGGCTGCAAAATTCCCCTCTTTCCACTGACACTCTGTGTTTGTTTTCACATTTGGGAGATCACAAGCTATTGGACCTCAAGATCCATAACCTTTCTGATGTCCCTGTTTATTGGACTCTCCTCTAAACAATTGTAGTCTTTTCATTTCAGATGCCCACCTAATTTCTCCTCGTAGTTTCAAATTATTTTGCATTTCCTGTCCTAAACAGTCTTACTGGCACTCTGAAACAACTGTTGTAGTGCACTTCATGGGTCTCCATGTTCCGCAAGTGACTGGGATTGAAAGCAAAAGGGATTTTTGTATCCCTCCAGCATGAAAACAAGTGTACAATGTGTGCCTTGTTCCCCTTAAAAGCCAACGTGCACTTTGAAAGCAGGTTACAGCAAGTAAAACAACAAGAAGGTTAAAGGCTCTGTCTGATAAGGTGAAAGGAAATTAGAATTCTTATCCCAGGGTGGAGTTAGAGGGGGATGGATTCTCAGGTGGTGAACATCCTGCCCTGTCCACTCAGCTGAGAACTCTGCTGCCACAACACATGAGCATGAGCTCTGCTCTCTCTGGGCTCACTGGTGGTGGAGGTTTAACCTCTGTCTGCTCTGAGGCTCGTTGCTGTCACATGCAGCACTTAAAGCTACATACCCGATGGGAGAGGCACTTCAGAGAGGGG